TCACACTACAGTTTGAGCTTGTGAGTGCAGCTCTGGTGACTACTGCCTGGGTTCAAACCTCAGCCTTGTTAGCCATTAGACTTTGGAGCAAAATCCTCTCCTTGCTCATTTCCTCATCTGTAAAATAAGAACAGTAATAATACTGCTGATCTTGCAGGGTTTTTGTAGGGATTAAGTAAGCCAATAAAGGTAAAGGATTTACAACCCAACACATAGCAAGCACTTAACAAATATCATTATGGTTATACTATCCCACCATACCTACATTTAAACAGATTCCCTTGATCATCAATGACTCTCCCAGTACTATCTGCTTCTCCAAGATAATTACACGTCTGTTCAAATCATCTATTGGGTTGGATCATCCATATGGTCATGTTCTTCATTTTGTAAGTGCTATATGATGGCATTTTCCTTGAGTGACACTCTTTCTGTACTTCCAGAACTTTCTGGTTCATTCAGTAACAGCCTGGAAGTACTGTCATGGACTATCTCATCACCTTCCTATTCTAAGGAACTAAGGGTTTTTAATTTCTAATTAGACAATTAACCTATTTATAAACATACCCATGGCCATGTTATCTAGCTGTAAAGCAGTTTAATTAGAGACTGCTAATTGACAAACCCTACAAGTGTTGGACTGGTATTCTCTTAGGAAAGGTGAAGCCACATATGCTTTGTGAACTATTCCTGTCACTTATGACAGGAGGTGGGAGCAGTACACGTTAGCAACCCTAGGACCAGGTGGAGGGCACCTGGACAACCACCTAGAGAATGTCAGATCCAGTCCAAGAGGCAAAGAAAGGCCAGAGGCTCAGGATTAAGTAAGCATTAGGACATCTGAATGGAAGCCACAGAAAGCCAGGAAGTAGAGTCCCAGAACTGTACCCTTGAAACAGGAGCCCAAGGTCACTGCCTACAGGGTAGGAGCGGCAAGGCAGATATAGTGCAGGTGGTCAGTGAATGGGTGATGCAGTGAGTAATTTCTGAGACCTTGTTGGCTCAAGCCATGTTCCAAGGGCCAGGTGTGTACTTACCAGCTGCCCAATATCGAATCATTCCAGAACCACCTTTAGGTCTCGGCTTACCTGTGTAAAGGATAGTTGGATATAAGCTTGTGTTATAACTCAATTATAATTAAAGTCTCCATGCACATTTGAGTCCACTGCAAACAAGAACTCAGTAAACACCCCCTCCCTGGTTTCCATGCAATGCTCTTCTCTGCTTCTCCTGCTACTACTTTGGTATTACCTTTGCGGTCTTCTTTGCAGGCTTCTCTTCATTTCCCTTTTAAATGTTGATGTTCCCCAGAATTCTTAGTATCCTTCTCTTCTCTTCTCTTCTCTTCTCTTCTCTTCTCTTCTCTTCTCT